CTTCATGAATCCTTTGAAAAAAATCGGAAATCAGCACCGATGGATAAATTACTAGCTGGGCTCTGACATCAAAATATTGTGCATGCCTGTACTGTTAATGTTATTATTCTTCCTGAAGACCACCCTCTCTGCCTGCATTCTCTGACTGCACCTTTGTACCTCCATCATCTGCACTATACCTCCCCTTTCTCATCCGAGCTGAGTCAATCAGAAATTTGTCCTTTCCCATACAGTTTCTGTTCAAAAATTTGCACTCACCCACTTCATGCATTATTTCTACAGCTACTGATATAGTTTCACCTGCTCTGCTCTATGTTGATGCACTCCAGTACAGGTTAAACTCCTTGTCTTTTGTTGTTTGTTTGTGGCTTATCAACCATTGTGGGGTTGCTTTTGGTTCAATTTTTTGCTCGTCTGTTTTTAGAGATACATTTTTTTTTCACTGGAACATTTTTATCACCGGACTTTGCACTGTAAATGTACTTCTGTAGCTTCCTCAGTTGTGAACAAATTTGTGTAACGTGGATTTTTGGCTCTGGGGAGCATATGCTCCCTAATGAACAGTAGAATCAAAATAAATTTTGAAAATACCGAACTTTTTTTGTAGATGATCATATTAGTGTAGCAAGTGCGCTTGACAATTTTCATGCCATATGGGATAGCAGTGCTTCGTTGGTGAAAAAACAAACTTAAGTTTAATATTTGGCGTTCGACTTGATTTTTTTGCACAAGTCAAAATGCTTCAGTTTTTCCCCTTGAAATTTGCATGTACCATGTGACAATGAACATATCTTTTTTTTGACATTTGTAAAATCCATTTTTAGCACGCAGGAGCATGTGCTCCCTGGAGCCAAAATGGATTTCAGCACTTTCTGCCTCCATACAAAGGCTGCTGGTCAATCCTATTTTGTTGTTGCAAAACCTGAGTAGTAGTAGTTACCACCGAAAGTGCTTTTATGAGCTCGAGCTCACGTGAGATCGAGTGAATAGTAAAATAAAAAAATGAAGAAATTCTGATTTCTTTTGTAGCAAACATTGACAAATGTTTTCATTGCTTGCAAAGTTTCAACAGAGAAGGGGAGCCTTGGCGCAGCGGTAAAGTTGTTGCCTTGTTCGAGTCCTGGAAACAGCCTCTTGCAGAAATGTAGGGAAAGGCTGCGTACTATAGACCTAAAGTGGTCGGACCCTTCCCCGGACCCTGCGCAAGCAGGAGCTACGTGCACCGGGCTGCCCTTTTTGTTAAAAAAGAAATCAGATTTTATGTTTCAAAACACATGAGCTCGAGCTTTTGGAGCATCGATTAATAGTGGCAGTACTAGTATTACATTTTTTTCAGGATATTTTTTTCTACTTCCGTATGGTCTCTTAGAAAATAAAAACTTGTGTACTGTCTTTTTTTAGGATAACCTGTGTACATGTCCTATAATTTGGGAGAGAGAGGAAGGATTTTTTTAGAATCACTGTTTGAAAGGCTTTTTGAGAATCACTTTTTATGGCGTTTTGAGAATCACTTGTGTACTACTTCCTCCGTATCAAAATATAAGATGATGTTGTACGTTTTTGTACAAAAGCGTCTTATATTTTGATACAGACTTACAGAGGTATAGTAGTATAAGTCAATAGCAATCTCCTTCTGGGCTCAACCTAGCCAGGAAATAAAAAGGGCCCAGCCCGTTAGTACTCTGTCTCAGATTTACAGTATTATATACCTACGCTAAGCCCATTTTCAACTAAAAAGCCCTATGCTCAGCCCATTCCATGTCCGTTGACTCCGTTCTTGCTGTATCCATGGCCCTCCCCTCCGCCGCCGCCACAACCGCACCTCCACCTGCGGACGGGAGCAGCGGCCAGATGAGCTCCCCGCCGGCGACGACCGTGGCCGAGGCCGCAACAGCAGGAGCCACGCCTCTCATCGGCGGCCTCCCAGATGAGGTCGTCATCTGGGAGATCCTCGTCCGCCTCGACCCCAAATCCCTCCTCCGCTGCCGCGCCGTCCGCCGCTCCTGGCGCCGCGCCACCTCCGCCCGCGGCTTCCTCCTCGCCCACCACGCCCGCCAGCCCGCCCACCCCGTCCTCTACGGTTACAGCTGCGTCGGGAACGACGTCATGTCGTTATCCATCATCCCCTTGGACCACCGGTCAGGGCTCGCCGCCGACGACCAGCTCCAGCCCGTCGCGCGGCTTGGCCACGCCCTCGTCCGTCCGGAGGCCTCCTGCGACGGCCTCCTCGTCCTCTCCATCCTCGGCACCTACTTCGCCATCTGCAACCCCACAACTCGTCAGTATGCTCCCCTCCGTATGATTTCTGAGTTCAGCATATTGGGGATGTACCCTCACCGGCCTACTGGCGAGTACAGATTACTCATGCACTCTTCGAAAACCGCGAAGCAGGCCTCGTCTGTTCTTTTTGGCCCCTGCACCAGACCGTCACCTGAAAATCAAGTTGGCTGCTACGTCCTAGCACTCGGCTCTGGTCAGCTGCTGAGGTACATTGAGTGTGCGGACGCCAAGGAACTGAAATTGAGCAATAATTCTGTGCTATTCCGTGGTTGCTTACATTGGTACCCAGTGCGACATGGAAGTGGCAACATCATGATAATGGTGTTCGACACCACAGCCGAGTCGTTCCGGCTGATGCGCGCTCCGGTTTTTCCTGGCGGCTGTGATGACCTGTTTGAGATGGATGGCATGCTCGGCATGTCCAGCTCTAATAAGGCAAAGACAATCATTCGAATCTGGGTGCTGCGGGATTATGAAAGCGAGGACTGGATCTTAAAGTGCAAGATTAAATTGCCGGTTATGGAGATCAGGGTGCCGTGGGACAGTCACGACCATGAAATTTTTTGGGACGTGGTGGTCGTGCCTGGAGATGGTGAGTTGCTTGTGTTGGTCAAATATGTGGGACGGCTACTTCAGGTTGACATGGATGGCAAGTTGGTCACCACTTTCCACCACAAAGGCGTCCGTCCTACTCAATTACAGCTCAAACAAAGTCTTGTTCGGCATGCCTTCTTTCCATCACTAGAGGGTTATGTTGTGAACAATTGGCCGTTCATCTGAATGACGTTGAGTTAGCTGGTGCTTCTTAATGTCCTAGGTGTTTCTATTCTCATATGCTGCAGTATGTGCAAATTGGATCCATCATGAGCCTACTAGCTTCTTTGTCGATGTAAAAAATTATAATCAAGAAGCTCTGATTGTTGCATAGTTCTATGAAGTGTATGCTTTTGCTGATACCCTTTTGGAAAGAAAGGATTATTGTGCGTGTCAATGCCAAAATTACAAGTCATTCTGGTGTGTGTTTGTAATATGTGATAACTAATTAATCTGCCCCATGTATCTATTTTCTTGAACCGGAGAATTGACTTTGGTTCTTTACCTAGTCCTCTAGGGGTCTTCTTGCTACTTATTACTTGCAATCTACCTCCCTGGTGTCTCCATTTCTTGAACTCAAGAATTGACTTTCCCTTTTTATCTAGGTCCTCTTTAATGAGAGATTATCTGGTGGCCTTCTTGAAAATCAATATTTGGCCATCTACATGTGTTTCCTGTTATTTTTTGTTCTACTTGGCAATGAGATGTGGCAAATTATTCTCTATGTTGACTTGCAAGTTGCACCTAAGTTTTAGAAGAGCTCGGACCCCTACTCCTTGATTAAATGATTGCACCATAGGTAATTCTCTTTATGAATCCACTGCATATGGTTAGCTATGGAGATTAAGCTCACCACTTAAGCAAGAGTTCATTCTGGCAGATATGGTTAAGCAGTTGCTGTAGTTTTTCTTCCTAAGAAAAAAAACTGTTCTAAAACAATGTTCTTGTTGTAACATTAGTTGATCTGTTGAAAAATCGAACTGGAAGGTTAATTTTGTGCTTCCATGTCTTGTTCAGAATTATCATACATCATTTCACTTTAGGTGCAAACCATCCTAAGTAATGCTTCATGTAATTGGTTCATGGTCACAGCCAGGCTCGTGTCCCTCATTTTGTTCCTCTGCGTAATTGCCATATTTGTTCCATGTTTATTTTCATCTGTATTTATCACCAAATATTGGAATCAGAATCGGCTTGTCTCGAGCAAAGGACAGCACCAGGAATTATGTGGGAAATGCTTTTTTAGAAGTAGAAGCAAGTTACTGTATGTATTATGTGCCGTCGCAAGACAACTGATCATTCCTTACTGCCGATGCATTATGTACCATACTATGTTTTTAAGGCGGTAAGGCGAGGCGAGGCGCTGGGGGGGCGCCTCACTGCCTAAGCGCTGAGGCATAAGGCGAGGCGACGCCTTAGAGACTTGTAAGCAACAGAATTAAGTAGAATTTGGTAGGCATTAAGCAACTAGGCATACAGCCATACACACCTTGCAACTGATTGTTGTAGAGCCCCCATCCTCTTTGCACTTGCTTTTCTCCCCAACAGAATTCTGCATCAACATGAAGTCATGAACAAATATGTTAGAATAATGTATCACTTACCAGTGCACATTCCACAAAAAATAGAAATAAAAGTGAGGCAGCAAACAAAAGTGGAAAGAAAGATAGCAAGTATGAGTGCAACTGCAATCTGCAATGGTCCACATAAGACAAACAGAATAATAGATAATTCCACATAAGAAAAACAGAATAATAGATAATTCCAGCATAGCAAAAGGGATAAAGGTGGTCAGCTCAGCTCTCTCATGTCTCTCCACTCTCAAAGTCTCAATCAAAAGTCATCATCATCAAACTCATTGGCATTGGTGTTGTCTTCACCATCTTGGTCAACATTAGTTGGCTCTTGATCGTCATTGCTCACATCATCATCATCCTCAACGTAGTCTGAATCCTCCCCCTCCGCATTGGGCATACTTGAGTGTTGCTCTTGCTCCAAGTCCTCCTCTACCTCATCTTCTTCAGGAATTATAGGTCGTGTTGTAGTAGGTCTCTTGCGTGCGTAGTGCAGACGGACATTTGTCTGGCCCCTACGAAGTGTAGTTGCTGTCCTATGCAGATTGCGGCCTCGAAGGTTTGAAGATGCACCAATAGCCACATCAACATCCTCCCATGTAATGTCTTGATTGTCTTCAGGACAACCTCGAGCACCTTGAGGTTGTGATAGTGATGGGTCCACCCACTCATTGCCCCAATCAAAATCCTCAATGACCAAAGCCTCAAAGCTATTCTCGCCCACCTTCTCACGCCTCTTTTGAAACCGTTGCATATTCTTCCGGTTGTATGAAACAAAGACAAGATCATTCAACCTTTTCCATTGTAATCTGTTCCTTTTCTTTGTATGGATCTACAAAGTAGAAACAACAAGTGAAATAAGTAAATAACTTGCTGAAATCATCATTGAACAAACACAAATACTGCTTTACTAGTTGACTTACAAATTCAAACGTGCTCCAATTCCTCTCACAACCAGATGATGAAGCACAAAGACTAACAATGCGCTTTGCAAACCTTTGTAGGTCAATGGCCCGACCACCAAATGAACTCCACCAATCAACTAAAATGATAAAAACTGACACATATTAAGAGTTTGTACAGAAATTACATTGCTGGAACTGGAATTAACATGCTGAAATTAACATGATGCATTTAATATGACTTACGAGGGTTTCTTGTGCTCATGGTCTCGAGTGCCAATGGATTAGAAAAGCTTTCTCGCTGTTGCTCATAGAGCACAGATTGTTGATCAATCTTTTTTCGAACATTGGCATCCGGTACCATTTTTGCAAGCACATCATTAAAGCAGCTCCTAAGCTCCCCAACTAAGGCATCATCATTTCTGCTTACAATAGGAAAGAACTTTCCTGGGTTCAAAAATAGAGCAGCCCCATACAATGGATGATCCATTTGATTCTCCCAACGCTTATCAACAATGGCCAAGATCTTCTTGAGCAATGGTTACTTGTTTTGTTGAGGGAAACCTAGATTGATCCTCTCCTTTGCATAAATCATAAGTGCTTTAATCTCTGGCATGGCAGGCTTCTCATCACCATCTGCTACTCTAAGAACTCTAAGAAGTGGAGTTGAAGCTCTAAGGCAGTCCTCAATTGCACTCCACCACTCCGTTGAAAGTATAATCTCTTGCACATTCAAGCCAACTTGTGTTTTTGCTAACTTGTTTCCAACCCATTCTTCAGATGTAAATAAACTCCTCAATGCAGCCTTGTTCTTGACCAAACTCCTAAGTGTGAGGATGGCTGTGGCAAAACGAGTGGCTGATGCAATTTCTCTCTCAGCTCATGTGCACTAGGAGGCTTGTAACCTGACCCATATTGACAAGAGGCTTCAATTGCAACCTCAAACTGCCTACTACTTGCAGCGTTGAATGGAATGCCACACTCGTAAAAGAACAATGCCCACTGCATATTGACATACTGCCTCTCTTCTGGAGTCTTTGTGCTGGACTCCATGGCGCTTTGAGAACACCCAGAGCGTCTTTCATCTACAAGATCCTCATGTGTTCTTCGTAGCATGGCAACAATTGGCTTGGAACTATTGGCGGCAGACACAACAGAAACAGACTTCTTTTTACCTTGCATGTTGGTGATAAACGCTTTCTTATTCTGTTTGGCTGCTGTCCCTGAGCTTGGCCTTTTAGAGGCGATGTTTGCTCCAACTGAACTCACCTCCACAACCTCCTGAACATCATCTACATCTACTACTCCCTTGATCCTCCTATTTTGCTCCAAATATGTTCCCATTTCTCTCCTCAATTGTGTGGTGGCCTTAGGACAACCAATTGCATCTCCCCCGACGCCCGCAAGATGCTCTTTATGCCTCTTGATCCCTCCAGAAGTTATCTTGCCACAAAGAGCGCACACAACAAGATCCCGATTTGGAGGCTCAGACCAATATCCATAGTTCCATCCCGGATCATTTGACCGTTGTGGCTTCCTTGTTGGATCTTTCATTGGATCGTAGGTGGGCTCACCCCCATCAGCTGCTGCATTTCCATCCATGGTGCTACACTTCTACTACCTGCAGCAAACAACCAAACAAAAAGGAATATTAGCATAACTGATAAAAGGGCTGCCATGGCATATGAAAAGGCTGCTGTGGCAGCAACTAAACTACTCTACTCATGCAGATGTAGCAAACAGCGACAATCAACTAGCCATTAAACTAATCAGCATTCAACTAGTCATTAAACTAATCCATTGTTGAGCACAACACATCATGCATCAGTATTCAACTAGCCTTTATTCTAATCCACCCAACAGGCCAACAGCATGCATTATTTTATTCAACCAAGGAGCATCCACTAAGGCACTAACCCCACTATCATTAAACTAATCACTAACATATGCCTGGCCACTAAGGCACTAACCACTATAAGAGACAAGTGAGCAACCACCAACCAGCTAGCACAAAACAGTCCAGCAAAGAAGAAAGAGAGCAGAGGAGGGTGTGGGAGAAGGGAGAGGGAGGTATACCTTACTGTTGCTCTTGCTTGTTGTTGCGGTACTGCAGAGGAGGAGCTGCTGGACAGGAGGATGAGGAGGAGCTGCTGGACAGGAGGAAGAGGAGGAGCTGCTGGAGAGGAGGAACCGTTGGAGAGGAGCTGCTGGAGAGGAGGAGGAACCAGATCTGCTGGAGAGGAGCCACTGAAGAGAAGGAGGGGGAGGAGTGTGTGGATTGGGGGCTGTTTCTCTCTCTCTCTTTCTCCCCTCTTACCTGTTGGCGCCAACATGATTCCAGTTTCCCGCCTAAAACAACTCCCCTGCCTGCCTGGCAAGCTAAGGCGTCCAAAATGGACTAAGGCAACGCCTCAGACGCCTAGGCAGACGCCTCGGACGCCTTATAGCTTAAGGCGGACGCCTTAGACACCCACCTAAGGCGAGGTGGACGCCTTGCCCTCGCAGGGCGCCCTGACGCCTAAGCGTCGCCTCGGCGACGCCTTAGGGACGCCTTGAAAACAGAGGTACCATAGCAGAGAATTGCTCAGCTAATCATTCCTTACTGCAGATACCTGGTTACATTTTACACCATCGGATGCAGCATACAATTTCAACGTTCAGATCCTCTCCAGGCCCTCGTGGCAAGTGTCGTACCCTGTTGGCACACATG